CAATGACATTAGTGGGGAAAGTAAATAAAAGTAATCTGAGTAAAAAGAGATATACACTTCTGACAACCTTCAGATGTGCTCATTTACTAACCAGATATTATCGAGAGTTGATTATATGTATCAATGAATATTCAATGAAAACAAAAAGGATCATTTTCTCAAAGATTTCCTCTTAGGACCTTTAATCTCGGGAGTTAACACGACTAGCAGGCTTAGTGCTATAGCATCCATGAATGGATATAGATATACTCAAATTATGTAACTCAGATAATGAACTTAAATTTTAACACTATAAAATATGCTAGCTCTATGAAAGCTTCCTCTGACAAATACTAATCCCAATACACTATCCCTACTAATATGCAATGTGATCAAGGTCACAGGCAACAGAGCATTCCAAACCACTTGTTCTGAGCAGTCCAAGAAATTAGCTTCTACTGCAAAGACCCCTGACTCCTGCTGCTTTTAAGTACTGATTCCAAATCAGACCTCCACGAGGGGAAGAAATCAAAGGAGACACTGGTTTTATCATTGTTTTTCCTGTGAAGAACTTGTTTTAGGTGGGAACAACCTCTTGGCTCCAGTAGCTATCAAACCCCACCAACAATGCCAGAGCTACACATATCCAGGTGCCATCATTTTGAGTAGGAAAAACAGGGTGGGGGTTGTGGCTGTAAGAAATGGGAACATCTATAACCATATGGATTTTCAGAGTATAGTCACGTAATTCAGTCATTTCAGGCTCTGGCAACACAATTTCTCCATGAAGCTTAACTATCAGCAATTGAGATCGGCAGGTATGGTTAATAACAAGACAACTGATATAAATATTAAATCTTACAGTGAATGTCCTCTGCTTTTGTCAAGAGAAGAACTACAGTGTATTATTCTTCATGTATTTGGGGAAGAAATAACACAAATTACTTTGTATTCAAATTAGTTTTTGACAAGCCCAGAGCTGTTTCATTGGATTTAACAACTGATAATACCATGAACTGTATTTTCACTCTAGTCTTTGTGAATAACATGTTTCTTCTTCCTGCCTTAAAAACACTACAGCTGTATATTTAGAATAAACATTTTTATTTTCCTACGTTTTCTAATACATTTTAAGTACTTACAAGTATTGAATTTAAACTGTATTGCTCTTCAGTAGGGCAGACTATGCAAAAAATACATGCACATATTTGAACAAAACTATTTATCCAACCATGCAACCTTCCTGTGTTTAAGACAAAAGTACCAGTCAAGAAAATATCCTGGGTACACATTTACTTCTCAGCTTCTAGGAGTAGAAACCAACCAAAGAGTAGAGGGTCAATGTCTTCAGCTGGACAAGGACCAGGCTTCTCCATCCTACAGCTATATCCAGGGTCTAGCAATTGCTGACCAGCTTCCTTTCTGCTCTCCAGCCATAATTGGTACGGTGCTGGCTAGGTGCAAGTCGTAGGAAGAAAGGATAAACATGTGACAGGGGATGATGATGTCATTCTTGGCATTTAGTCCTCGGATCACTTTCTTTTTTTGACTTTGTTCACTTTCTTTTTTTGACTTTGTTCAGCAAGCAAGTTTTCAAAGAATATATTTACTTACAAACAATCAAGTTCGAAACTAAACTAAAATCAAAGAAACTTTATTTTAGATAATTTGGCTACTAAAATAGGAAGCCATATAAATGAGACTAGGCTTAATGTATTTTCAAAGGGTATCATAAGGACACTACCAGAAATAATAAAGTAATAAAATTAATGGTAATTGATTTAGATTTACTCACTAAAAAACCCACTGCTCTGGTGGCATAGTGCTTAGGCATTTGACTGCTCACCAGAAGGCTAGCAGTTCAAACCCACCAGCCACTCCTTGGAAGGAAGGTTGGGCAATATACTTCCATAGTGATACTAGCTCAGAAACCTAAGGAGGAGTTGCTATGAGTTGCATCTGACTCCATGGCAGTGTGTCTGTTTTTTTTTTTCGGGGGGGGGGGGCAGGTAGAGTGAGTCAATTCCAACTCATAGTGACCCTATTGGACTAAGTAGAACTGTCCCATTGGGTTTCCAAGGCTGTAAATCTTTACAGAAGCAAACTGTCCCATCCTTTTCTTATGGAGTGGCTGGTGGGCTCAAACCACTGACCTTTTTGTTAGTAACCCAATGCTTTAACCACAGCATCACCAAAGCTCTTTTGGTTTACTCACCATGTATTTAATTTTCTCTACGTATTTAATGAGAAAAGTCATAAAATGTAAAAGAAATGTAAATAAGAAAGTGTGCATTTCCCAGAACTGATAAGATTTAGATATATACAGATTTAAGAGTTCACAACATTTATGAAATGTTAAACCTATGAAAGCTAAACAGATCTCAACTATTACTACAGCTACCATGCCAATCTCTTACCTCTCTCTGACTTCCCACTTTTATTCTCCCTTTGCACTACCTCTTTTTTGTTGTTTTGTTTTGGTATCTGTGTCAAATATTTTAATTCACTTAACATTTTATTCTGCTTTACGTGAAAGTTTACACAGCAAATTAATTTTCCCAATCAATAGTTCATACACAAACTATCCCAGGACATTGGCTATAATACCACCAATGTGTCAGCACTCTCTCCATCTCTTCCCTTGGTTCCCGTTTCTAATCTTCTAGTTTCCCTGTCCCTCCCTGTCTTCTCATCTTTGGTTTTAGACAAAACGTTGGCTTGCTGGTCTTGTATAGCTGATTGTTGCACTATCTATTTCTTAATTCAAAGCTCTTATCTTGAGCTGTCCCTCCCATGAGAGTGAACCCAGGGAGTCTGGGTCCTTTTGGAATCACTGAATTTGCTGCCTCCAATACCTCTCCCTGAACAAAGGACCCTGCACCTCAGCAGTATCACTAGGCTTTGTCTTTGCAAGCACCTACTGCACAACTAAGCTACAGTAATCTCACAAATCAAAGAAGAACTTTATCATAAAATTCAGTTCAAATTAAGGATGCAATTCTTGCACAGAATTCAGATACTAACAAAGTAAGAGTATTGGTGCCTGAGTCTGACTGTTCGCCTTTGCTGTGTTTCTTCTTTACAAAAGCCACAAATCAACTGTGAAATAGTCCGTGTATACAGTAAAATAATTCCTCTATCTCAGGCTTAAACACTGTGTATTAAATAATCAAATTATCTGAGATTCACTAAATTTGGTTCTACTTCCAAGTAAATCATTCCTATAAAAGGAGCAAGTTATGATCTGTCCCATGCCATATATGTGTCTACCTGCAAATGGCAATCTTCAAAGTTACAATTAAATCACCTCTTAAAGATTGGTTAAAAACTTTAATGGGAATAAACTTTTGAAATATGAAATACTAAAAATCAAGTTACTAATGTAATACTTTGCTGTACAAATAGGTATGTTCTATAGAAGAAAACTATTTTTTAATTTTTAACAATTGTCATTTCCTGTCTGACAGATATGACATGTGATTTTTAAGTTAAAAAAATCAATAAAATGCATTATATCAGAAATTATATTATTTCTAAAAATTTGGCCCACATGAAGTTATTTTTTTAAAAAAATTTATTCTTAAAGTTGCTAAATTTTCAGCATACTAAATAAGATTTAGAGATTTTTTAAGAATATTTTTATTACTAGAACATATTTGACTATTATAAACCCCAAAGATTAGTTGCACAAGGGAAGTGGTAAGTGATTTCAGAATTTACCATTTAAAGAAATGTATAGACAAATAAATTGGCACCATTCTGATATACTAAATTCTATATAATTTTGTTTCTTTCACAATGCCTACAATGTGTTGCAAGGATATACTTAAAAAAACTCAATTTTAGATATATAAAATTATACAGAATTGCATTAAAAAGTCCACTAAAGTTAAGGAAAAGAATTTTCATGGATAGTAGGCTTCTACTTCAAGTACCGAATACCAATTCCCACTGAGCAATGTTAAGAAAACATAAACTAAGGTCAAAATTGAGAAGCCATATTATATTTTGTAACAGCTAAAACCTTTCTGCATATTTAGAGCATACTGTTTCATAAGGAGATGAGAATGACCTACTACAGACAGTTTCATTGGTTACAGATGTGGTATCCTCCCATTTTTTCATGTCCATGAAAGAAATAAAGGAAGTATGTGTGGGAAAAATTTTGTGTGTCATTATTTTAGAAATCTGAGTGTATGGTACCATGCCATATATTTTTCTAAACACTTTAATATAAAAAATTTTAATGTATATTATGCTATATATTAAAGTAAACAATGTTGTTTAACAAGGAGAAATACATACCTCACGAGGTCAGATTATATAAAATTTGTGACAGCCTTTCAAATAACACAGCATTTTAAGACAAACAAGGGAATACCACACTGTTATTTCTTACAAGAAATATGTCAATGATAAAGACAGGTAATTCTGGCGATAAAAAGGAAAGAGGCCAAGAGTTCCAAAATAACACAACCCAGTCAAAAGACCACTATATTATACTATAATGTGATCTTCAAAATATGCAGAGGATATTTTAATATGTTTACCACCATAATTTTATTTCCAAATGAATTTATTTTGTAAATGTTTAAGCCTTCAGAGATTTACATTTTTAAGCTTAAATGAATTATATCAAATGCTACTAAAGAATGACTGCAATTACCATACTTTAAAAGAAACAAGGACACTGTCTAAATATTCAAATATTAAGTTAAAAACACAAAGTACTTTAAATCTGCGAACACAAAATTATACTAAAGTTATATTATGTTATGTTAAAATTATACTTATGAAAATATATGTACAAAAGCTATACTTATTCACTTATGAAAGTAAATTAAAATGTGTAAGTCTATGGAAAAGAAATTAAGTCATTTAATATCTTAACAAGAATGAAATATATAGCATTTAGGTGGAAAAGTATCTTACATAAAATGTATGTGGATCAACATAGCTATTATTAAAGTTTGGTTTCCCTCATTTTACCACCTCTAACAAAAAATAAAATGTGTACTTGCCTAATAAAACTTTGGCATCATCCATATCAAAATCCCCATCACCGTCAGCATCATAGACTCCAAGCTTTCCTATAATAGAGGAGAAATGATGGATATGGGAACAAAAAGGAAAACGAATATAATAAGATATTACCATTTTCTGCAATTTTGCACACCAGCCATGAATATTACCAATCAATGCAATTCTTTGCTCTCTGAATCCTGTAAAGCAGTGCCAAATGAACATCTTATATAAAACTGGATAATCCACTTAGAGATTCAGAAAATTTTCATCTAACAAAATTTAAGAAATATAACTGAGATAACATTTTCTTTAAAAGTTTAACAATATCCTGACCTAACTATTTCAGAATATTTTATTACACTGCAGATAATATTTTCAGTCAAATTTTCTACATAAGAAATAATATTAATCCATTTCTAACAGCTACATAAAATTTAATGTTTCTAAAATATGTAAATGTCCCACATCATTAATATATAGATCAGAAGGAACACCCACCAACCCTCAATTAAAGACTAAATGTGCATAACAGAGTATAAATATAAAGTATAAAGAAATTTTATTTGGTAATAATGATTTATAACAGAAACATAGTAAACCCAACTGAAGAAATAAAATTATTCTGGAAATAAAGTATTCAAAACTGGTGGCTACTGAAATCACAAAGGAAAATTTATGGCTATCCTACTAAAATGTTATTAGCATTCGCTATCTATTAGTAAGGGAACATAAAAAGAAACAGGACTAAAAATGGATATGCTAAGAAGGCAACACTACCAAGACTTTCACTTTTAAAGAACAGTAGATACTATGTTTTAAGGCTGTAATGCTTTATAATCCAGGAAGACTATGGTTAGCATTGCAAATGTGGGTCAAATACATTCAATTCTTAAAATCAACAGGATTAATCCTTCATCACTGGACAATGCTGGTGAAGTAACACAATTATGGATGCTGCTGTTGTTGTTATGTGCCGTCGAGCTGAACCTGACTCATAGCAACCTCTCCTTAGGTTTCCGAGCCAGTATCACTACGGAAGTAGATTGCCCAACCTTCCTCAGTTATGGATAGCAGTATTTTAAATAACATTAACAAATACAGCACTAGTACAAAACAGCTGGTAGCAGTTACCATTTCTTTAATAAAAAATGAAGACTGCTTAATTACAGGCAAAAGTGTTGAAATAAAGGAATTTTGACCAATCTTTACCCTACCAGAGCTCTTGTACAACTTAAGAATATAGCTAACTTGGTATTTAAAAGCCTGATTTAGAAATGACATGTACATCAAAAATAAAAAAATAATAGCAAAATAAAGAAGCTGTTTTTTCTACTGCTAAGAAAATATAAACAAAAAGCATTCATCTGCAGGTCAAGGCAATATACATTACAGATTTAAAATAATGAAAAATGATATAAAATACTTATTGTCTGACAAACTTATATACAGAAATTGGTCTTACCACTTACATTGTTTGATATAGATGATAACTAAATGAGTAGAATACAAATGAGGTTTTAGAGACTAACACAAGTATACTATAAATGCATCTCCAAGCGCCTACCTTGAAGTACCTCTGATAAGTTATAACGGAAGTCCTTTGCTTTAGCTGCATGCATATAAAAACATGAAAACTGTTACTTGTGCTTAATTGTACAAATATTAAATCTCATTTGTTTAATATCATTTTCCTAACAATATATCACTGTAAATCAATAAAAGCACATTTACTCTAAAGTCTGTCTCCTAGCTAAAGTTCTTCCTCTATAATCTATCAATCTAGCCAGAGACCTTTTTGTTAAAGTCATATAAATGAAAAATTTCAACAAAAGACAGATTAGATGTACACATGTTTTGTTTTTCTTTGCTTTTGTCCACCTAAAAGATGGCTGCAGTATAGTAAATTACTTAGTGTGGCTTTTCTACCCATAAGTCTTTGTAAACTCCAAGGTGGGATTTTCTATGAGCAACTGAGGAGCTCCTGATTGCTGAAGTTGTCCACCTGGAGTATTTCTGTTGGGAGTGGCACAAAACAATGTTCTGGGAGGTGCCCACTCTCTCTCAGGTGCTTAGAGTTCTGATGCTATGATTGGCTAGTTTGACCACGCTGCAGGGCTCAAAAGGAGGCCTCCTAGAGGCAGAACTCGCTCTGACTGCTGGTTGAGGAAGACGTGCTGTGAAGAGACACGCACCCCGGAAAGAGACATGTGCTGCTGGGAAAGAGGCGCAAGAGACACGCATTGCTGAGTGAGACACCGAGGGACCAGCACTGCTGGGAAAGAGACTGTGAGAGACTGTCGGCTGAGGGACAGTGGGCTGGGAGAGAGACTGAGCGTTCTTCCTGAACTTGAATTGTAGTCTGGTGCTTCCCTAATAAACCTCATAATCTGTGAGATCTGTGTGGCCACTGCAGTGAATTATCGAACCCAGGAGAGAGGTGGTGGGTGCTTTGGGAAGAACGGTTGGTGAAAGGGCTGGAGGGAGGCAGCATGTCTGGTCTGGCAGGAATAGGCCTTGGGTTACTGCTGGTAATCCTGTCTTCCTCTTATGGGATTAGAGGAGGTCAGAACATGTGGCCTCCTTGCCGTTTTTGCTAAGGCTATAACCTAACAAGTAAAGCAGAAATATAGAAGGCTCAATGAATCAATAAGTTGATTATAATCAGATGTAAGATTGTATATTTAGATGTGCACATTTTCTTTTTTTCCAGCGGCAAGGTCCATTTCTTTCACTGAATTATTAAAGAGGACAGTGACTCAAAAAAAGATTGCTGCTATTAGCGGCCCTCAAGTCAGCTCCTGACTCATGGTGACCCCATGCACAATGGGGTAAAGAATCATGACTGTAAAGAGCCACGAAAATCTTAGTGATATGGGGAAGAAAAGAAAATAGAAGGATAAAAGGGAACACTATCAGAAGTATCTCAGTAACTTTCTCAGAACAGCACACAGACTCCACCTACACCCCCCACCCACACACACATATTACACACATATTCACACATGGCTATCCCATCTGGATCCACAATACAGCAACAGAACTCTCTAAGGCAGGGTTTTACAAACTGTGTGTTCATGACACATTACTAAGTCCATAAACAAATCAAGTGGCTCATGATCAGTGTTTTCAAATGTCTTGGAAGAAGTACAGCCAGAATGCTCCTTAGGTGTGAACATGGCGAGACTTCATCTCATATACTTTGGACATTTTACCAGGAAGGGCCAAGTCCCTGGAGAAGGACATCATGCCTGATAAAGTAGACAATTAGATAAAAAGAGGAAGACCCTCAACAAGATGGACTGACACAGTGGCTGTAACAATGGCTTCAAATATAGCAACAACTGTGAAGATGGTGCACGACTGGCCGTGTTTCATTCCACTGTACATAGGGTCACTATGTACAATGACATGATGGCACCTAACAATAACATGAAAAAGAATAGAAAAAACTGAGTATCACAAATAGTGAGAGTGAATACTGTTTGGTAAAATTTCTCTGTATTTCACTGTATGTTCAAAAAATTTCAAGGTCACTATCCTAAGGTAAACCTGGTAACATCTGTCTTATTCCCACCCTACTGAGAACCACTAAAAAGATACAGAAATTAATGATATTAAAGAGATGATAATAAATCTTAACATTTACAGATTCACATAAGAAATACTATCAAAATTCTTACCTAGAACTTCCTCATAATCAACAAGTTCAAACCAAACGACAGCTACCGATGTCCAGACTCCCAGCAAGGCAATGACCATAAACCAAGTAAAAAATGAACTTCCAGAGAGCCCTCCTTTCTTCCCATTCTTGTGTCCTCCATGCTTTGTCTCTGTTTAAAAATAAAATAAATGCAAAATGTCATTACATGAGAAATCATTTTATTTACCTGAACACCTCCTTTCACACTGAGTTATTCTTCTAGTAATTTACAGTACTTACTAGTAGGCCTGGTGGTGCAGTGGTTCAGCACTGAGCTCCTAACCCAAAAAAACTTAGCAGCTCAAGCCTACTCAGTAGCTCTGCACGGGAAACCTGGCAATCAGCTACCTTAAAGTTTACAGCCTAGAAAACCCTCTGGGTCAGTTCTACTCTGTTACATGGGGTCACTATGAGTCAAAATCAACTCAACAGCCCCGACCTACAACATAACAGTAGGTGGTTTCAAAATGAGTTTTCGCTTAAATTCTCAAAACACATCACCCAAAATAAAGGCTTTGAAATTAGGCAAATTGTTGTGACTTAAGGTCAAGTACATAAAACTCTACCTTGGAAGTAATAAACTACTAATGGACTAATAAGGAAAAAGAAAAACAGGGGTGAGGGGTTGCTACAATATGTATATTTTACTTCTAATTTCTTTATCAAAACTACTGAAAATAAAGGTTCAGCCATGGTTAGGAAGTGGGAAGAAAGCTGTTACATTGTGAGGAATTGCAGTCAACATCCTGAGATAAAATGTGAATGAAGTGCTGTATTGAAAATTAATTTGCTCTGCAAACTTTCACCCAAATCACAATAAAAATTTAAAAATAAAATAAATAAGATTCAGAGTACATAAACTCAATGAATTCATACAGAAATATAGCCAAATACTTTTCTCTGCTCCACTTAGCTTCTGAAAATCTTAAAAACGACTTATTAAATGTCACAGAAGAAAATCTTCCCACCAGAAAGCCACCATATATTCTTAGCCAGAGAGAAGAAAGAAAGAAATTATAGGAAATAGAGGCCAGGGAAGAAGGGAGGTAAAACAGCTCAGCCATTTACTCCTATCCTTTTAAAAGACCCACTGGGCCTCAAGAAGCAGGAAAGGCTCATTCAGAGTTGGTCTCAATGCAGGAAAAAGCTTTATAAACCACCATAAGTGTCATTTCTGTACCACATTCGATATGCTTTCATATACCTTACAACCTTTGGAAATATTCTTTTTATAGATAAAAATAAAGACAATGGAAATCAAGTGCATTAATAGAAACAAGTTAATATTGTCTTTAAAAGGAAAGAGAGTAAAAATAAATTTTCTCTTAAAAAGTCATATTAAGTAGTTACATCCTCCAATGTCATTTAAAAAGAGAAGCTTATTAATGAAGTAGAGATGTAGGACTCTGTCATATTGTCTCCCAGTTACTGTAGAGTTGACTCCAACTCATGCGTCAGAGTAGAACTGCATTCCATCGGCTGATTTTTCAGAAGATGACTTTCTTCCAAGGTGCCTTTTGGTTAGTAGCCATGCGCTTAACCCTTTGAATCACCCAAAAACTCCTAATTACAGAATACCAATTGTGATTTCTCAATAGTTTAAATCAATAACATACTGTAACTTCTTCCAGAAGGAAAAACGAAACAAAATTCTTCTGGATAAAAGGATATTGTTGTTGTCGTTATGTGCCAACGAGTTGGACACAACTCATAGCGACCCCTCCTTGGGTTTCCGAGGCAGTATCACTACAGACGTAGATTGCCTCATCTTCCTTCCAAGGAGGGCTGGTGGGTTTGAATCGCCAGCCTTCTGATTAACAGTCAAGTGCCTTAGGCACCATGCTACCAGAGCTCCTGATAAAAGGATATAAGCATTTTAAAATCAACGACTAGATCAACTTTTCAAAAGTGGTCTAAAACCTAAATTAAGACAAAATGGCCTTCTTAAAGAAAAAGCCAAATACCTGTTTTCTAATTTACTTAAATTTTAACAGATCCATCAAAAAGAGGCAGATTTCTAAATATTCATATGATGAATTCCTGAAAGTATATCTGCCAAACAACATGGGGCCATCTACTTTGTTCCTAATATGATCTATGTAAAAGTACAACAAAACAAAACACTGTCTAGTTCTGGACTGCAGTGTAGTAAATTACTTAGTATAGCTTTTCTACCCATAAGTCATTGTAAACTCAGTGGTGGAATGAGCAACTGAGGAGCTCCTGATTGTAAATGTTATCCACGTGGAGGATGTCTGTTGGGCGTGGCACAATACAATGTTCTGGGAGGTTCCCACTCTCTCTCAGGTGCTTAGAGTTCTGATGCTGTGATTGGCTAGTTTGACCACCCTGCCGGGCTCAAAAGGAGGCCTCCTAGAGGCAGAACTCTCTCTGACTGCTGGTTGAGGTAGACGTGCTGCTGAAAGAGACACGGGCTCCTGAGACACGCGTTGCTGGGAAAGAGACTGTGAGAGACTGTTGGCTCAGAAATGGTGGGCTGGGAGAGAGACTGAGCATTTTCCCTGAACTTGAATTGTAGCCTATGGTTCTTCCCTAATAAGCCCCATAATCTGTGAGCTGTGTGTGGCCACTGCAGCGAATTATCGAACCCAGGAGAGAGGTGGTGGGTGCTTTGGGAGGAACGGTTGGTGAAAGGGCTGGAGGGAGGCAGCATGTCTGGCCTTGCAGTAATAGGCCTTGGGTTACTGCTGGTAATCGTGTCTTCCTCTTGTGGGATTAGAGGAGGTCAGAACATGTGGCCTCCTTGCCGTTTTTGCATGTACTATCTTTATAATAGTTACTATGCTCCAGCCATTGTTACAGCCACTATGTCAATCAATTTCACTGAAGGTCCTCCTCTTTTTCACTAACCCTCCACTTCATCAAGCATGATGTCCTTCTCCAGGGACTGGTTTTTCTGATGGTATGTCCAAAGTATGTGAGACAAAATCTTGCCATGCTTACTTCTAAGGAGCATTCCGGTTATACTTCTTCTAAGACAAACATGTTCATTCTTCTGGCAATCCATGGTATATTTAATATTCTTTGCCAACACTGTAATTCAAAGGCATCAATTCTTCACTTGTCTTTATTCATTGTCCACCTTTAACTTGTATATGAGGTAAGTGAAAATGCCATGGCTTGGATCAGGTGTATAGCCTTCAAAGTGACATCTTTGCTTTTTAGCACTTTAAAGAGGTCGTTTGCAGTAGATCTGGCCAGCACAATACTTTGTTTGCTTTCTTGACTGCTGCTCTCATTGACATTGAATTGTGAACCCAAGTAAAATGAAATCCACTTCAATTTTTCCTCCGTTTATCATGAAGCTCTCTCTGTTTTATCAGTTTATTGGTCCATTTGTGAGGAATTTTGTTTTCCTTACATTAAGGTGTAATCTATAGAAAATTGCTCTTTATCATTAAGTGCTTCAAGACCTCTTTACTTTCAGCAAGCAAGATTGTCATCTGTATATCTCAGGTTGTTAATGAATCTTCTTCCAATCCTGATGCTGTGTTCTTTTTCATATAGTCCATCTTCTTGAGTTATTTGCTCAGCACAGTGATTAAATAACTATGGTGAAAGGCTACAACCCTGATGCATACCCTTCCTGATTTTAAACCATACAATATCCCCTTGTTCTGTTGGAATGACTGCCTTTTGGTCTATGTTTAGGTTCCACATGAACACAATTAAGTGTCCTGCAAATCCCATTCTGCACAGTGTTATCCATAATTTGTTATGATCCACAGAGTCTAATGCCTTTGCATAGTCAATTATAACACAGGGAAACATCTCTTTGGTATTCTCTGCTTTTCACCAAGAACCGGCTAACATCAGTAAAGATATCCCTTGCTACGCATCCTCTTCTGACTCTGGCAGTTCATATAATTCATCTTCTTATTCATTCATTTAACATATTTATTCAGCACCTATGTGCTCAAAACAAAAACAAACTCATTGCCGACAAGTCAGTCCTGACAAGTAGCCAACTCATAGCAACCCCTCCTTAGGTTTCTGAGGCAGTATCTCTAAGGAAGTAGATCACCCAACATTCCTTCCAAGGAGTGGCTGGTGAGTTTGAATGGCCAGCGTTCAGGTTAGCAGTCAAATGCCTTAGGCACTACGCCACCAGACCTCCCACCTGTGCACTAGGCAATATAAAATTTTTACCCAATCATTAAATTTTCAAAATGTGAAGCTCAATGAAAATACCTTGTAAAAGAACTCAAGATGATGTTACTTAAATCCTATAATGAAACAGCTAATAAACCAAAAGAATAACTTGAATTCAAGTTCAATTCTTTCTCCATTTTTATCACTTTTTTTAATGTGCAAATGGAAGAGAAACATTTCTGAGATTTTCATAAGTATCACTCACTTATCCAAGTTAATTCAGTGATATTCACCTGTTACTGACCTATGACACAAATTATAAGAAAAAATGAGAAAAATGTTTCATTATTGTTATCATAGAAATATACATACCAAAGCAGAAAAAGGAATTGGAAGAGGGAGGACAAAGAAAGCCAAACACACAGCAAAAAATGCACCTTTCCCTAGAATCTGCTTACATTTATTTTAGACATGATTCTAACAGCGTCAACCGAGTTTCTTAACTCACTGAGCAAAACTAAAGAACAGACTTTACAGACAACCTTACTCAAATGAGTTGAAGCAGCCAAGTGCTGATGGAGCAAAGGCCAATTATAGGCATAAATTCTGGCAGCGAGAGTAGACACAGGACCTAGAAAAGCTTGGTAGTAGCAGGCCATTTAAACCCATAATAGTCCTTAAAATAAACTTCAGTAAAAGTAGTAACTGTTATTCATATTGATTATGTCACTTAAATATTATTTTAATCTGTTTAATACAAGAAATGTATAATAAATATTAGGAGCTGTGGTGGTTCAGTGCCTAAGGCATCTGACTGCTAACCAGAAGGCTGGTGGTTCAAACTCACCAGCCAGTCCATGGCAGGAAGACTAGGCAATCTAGTTCCATAAAGATATACTGCCTCAGAAACCCAGTGGGGGTCACTATGAATAGGAATCGACTTGATGGCAGTTGGTTTGGTTTTGGGTTTAAAATAAATATTAGGCTTTCATTCAAAATAGTTTTATTCAATCAATGTATCACTTTAAAAGGTAAATATTACTTAACTATAATATTTATTAGTAAGACTTTACCTTCTTTATAATGTCCAAAAAAATAAGGTGTTACTGTAGTATTATTAATCTTACTATTGGTAATATTTACTAATTTCATAAAGAAAACACTGGATTACACAATGGAATCTTTCATGATATCTTTCCAGATATCTTTTTTAGGGGAACTTTACTATGGACAACACATAATACAGTACGCAATGTGTCACTTTGTAAATATGCTGTGCCTAGTCCCAAAAGTTGGGCCCTAGTGGCGCAGTGGGGTTAAGTATTCAAATGCCAAATGAAAGGGTATAGTTCAAACCCACCAGCCACTCCACAGAAGAAAGATATGGCCATCTGCTTCCATAAAGATTTGAAAACACCGAGGCAGTTCTACTGTGTCCTACAGGGTATCTCTGTAAGTCAGAATGAACACAAGGGCAGTGAGTTTGGTTTGGGTTTGGTTAATCCCAAAGGGTAAATCCATTTCTGTCCAATTAACTGAAAAAAGCATAGTAAGACAAACCCTGCAAGAGAGTTTCAAACTGCCTAAGCAAACCTAAAGGAGCTCTGGTAGTGTAGTCCTTAAGACACTTGACTGCTAACCAGAAGGCTGGCAGTTCAAACCCACCAGCCACTCCTTGGAAGGAAGATGGGGCAATCTAGGTCTGTAGTGATACTGCCTTGGAAACCCAAGGAGGGGTCGCTATGAGTTGGGTCTGACGCAATGGCACATAACAACAACAACAACAACAAGCAAACCTGAAACCAGTAATTTTTCCCAAGTGCATAATGAAAGAACATCCAGTGGCTGTCCAAATTTTCTATGATTAGAATAAGTTCATGAAACTTAATTTCATTTTATGGCTCCATATTAGACCCAAAATCCTAGAGATAAGTCAAAAATAGTTTAAAAAAAAAACTGAGGGTTAAAAATTAGGTGAGAACCCTGTGATTCATTTTCTTCCATGTGGTCCCATCAAAAGAAGTTGACCTCCAAAATCAGAAAATATTGTTATGCACTATCAAACACAGAAAATTAACATGGCAAGAAATGGAGTATGTCCCTCTCCAGAAGGAAGACTAGGCTAGGAAGAGTGAGTAAGCTTATTTATTTGGTTGAGCAAAGGGAACAAAGAAGATATATGCCAGTACCTGAAAAGTAGCCAATTATGTATTTCCTAGAGACTAGACTATTACCAATTGAATTACCAATCAATCATCTACACATCATAGGCAGCATTACTGGGGGATTCGTTAAGCTATGAACAACACTACACACTTAAAGTTTTAAAAAAAAACATAAAAACTGTCAGACAACTCATCTGTTTACATGCTTCAAAATGTCACTCCCTAGGGGAGACGAATAGTTAAAAGCGGATCCAAAGTAGTAACTGATTTTACCTTATGCTACCTACGTAGATGATACAACCCACAGAGAAAGGGAGTCAACTGACCTAAGTATCTGTTAAAAACAGTATCCAAAGTGGAGATGTACATATTCTATATACTAACAGTAGAATCTTTTCAGTTACTATTTAGACAGGTGGGAATTAGAAGCAGTCTTTACACATCTGTTATTATTATATATATATATTTTTAACATAATGAGCAAATGTAGTTTGTTTTCAGATAACTTTAACTAAAAAAACAAAAACTATATATATGTGTGTGTGCATATATATATGTGTGTGTATACACACAATATACAGAAATACAAAAAAAGGAAAGCCAACTCACTGTTAAAGAATACTTCAAAGTTTACAACTGAATTTTTAAAATCCTAATGTCTTTTTGTTTGCATTTATTGTCTGCTTCACAAAAAGCAGGCCAGTTTCCATATATGGTAAGTCTTTGCTTGAACTCATTAATAAAACACAGTACTTACATATCTCTTAAGTTCTCTATAATTTTATATGAAATCTGAATACATACAAGCCACTGAAACTAAAAGACGAAGGAAGACTGCTTGTACATATTTTGAAATTAATAAAAGGTAGTCTCTGATAGTACAATATACTAAAAGATATTCTAAAATATGACAGCAAAACACTAAAGACAAATAGATTACTCCATGAAAAATTCAGCTACACTGAAAAGTCCAGGTCTCCAGTAGTTGAAAATAGAAAGCAGAGAAGACACAGTCACAGCACTTAGCCAAAAATATTTTAACAGACCACAACCGAAAATAGAGTTAAAGTTGTCAGCAATCTCCATAACCACTTCTTAGACAAATATACCTTTATCATCAGCCATTTTGATTTCTTCAATCCATGAGCAATATATATGGAAGAAAAAAATTAAAATAAAACAGCTATCAGCCGGACTCAAGCAGGCTGCCCTTCCCTACTAGAGCTACAGAGTGGTCAACTCCCAGGGGCAATGGCATCTAGAACTGAAATTAGACCTGACTGCAAATTCACCTCACCAGTTATTTTTAGAGGACTCCTCCTCATGCCCAAGTGCTGCTAATCACTCAGCTGAAATGCTCTCCTGAGGCCTAGACAGACTTTCTCCCACTTAAGGGAGTCCTGGTCTCAGTGGGTTCTCTCAACTTCAAATCCTAAAATCAAGTATGCCAGAAAAAAAGAAGTAGAACAAATTGTGCTGCCAGCTTTGTCTTCTTGGAACTAGGCCTTCATGGTTTTAGCCTAAGCACCAAATCACTTTAAACTGAAATAAAATGACTAGGACCAAGGCTTGCTATAAAATGTGGCCTCAAGCCTGGGAACAGCTTGATTTAGCCCTTTAGAATGAAACTGAATGGCTACATGAAAAGACCAATACTTAATTTGTTTAAATGAAACAGACCATAAATGGTAAGAAATTATTAATGCTCTGGAGTTCTGAATCACAAACATTACCATCCCAGGAGTTAATTCCTCCAACAGCAGAAGTAAAACAACAACAAAAAATGTTTCACTAGAAGAGGAGAGAAAAAGGGCTGAAACATGGGAAGGGAGGGAAGAAAGAAGAGAAGGAACTGAAGGAAGATTGGTAGGGAGAGGAGAAGGAGAGGGAAAAAAAAAAAAAAACCTTAGCTATAAGAGTAGTGATTTAGGAAATATTATTATCAGAAAGGAAAATATAAAGAGATTATAGAACCAAATTCTGATTGTTCTCTACTTTCCAGCACTCCTATCTGTAAAAATCCTCTTCTGGGAACTAAATTCTACCCAACTTAAGTGTACATTCCGTGATCTAAGATTAGCAGCTCATACAACTAATTAGAGCTCTGATTAGTACATCAAATTAATTTAGTACAGATGATATCTAGAGCAAGGCAGCAATTTTTAAAATTTTTTTTTGTTGTGTGTGTGTGTGTGTGTATGTGTTTCACAGAAATGGAAGGCTTCACATGCAAACTAAACATGAAAATGTTCTAAAGGGGAGTCAGCAACCCTTGGTACAAATACCTGATGGCCTAGAGCTGAACAGAGTGAACAAGGCATGGGGGCCAAGTAAACAAAACTGAGGAGAGTCTCTGCTGTTGCTGTTTTTAGGTACCATGAAGTCGCCTCTGACTCAGTGACCCTATGTACAACAGAACAAAACACTGTCTGGTCCTGCACCATCCTCACAATCTCTGCTATGTTTGAGCCAACTGTTAACACCCACTGTGTCAATCCACCTCGTTGAAGGTCTTCCCCTTTTCCCCTGACCCTCTACTTTATACCAAGCATGATATCCTTCTCTAGGGACTGGTCCTTTCTGACAACATGACAAAAATACGTAAGAAAGGGTCTGGCCATTGTCACATTTGAGGAGCATTCCAGATGTACTTCTTCCAAGACAGATGTTTGTTCTTCTGGCAGTCGATGGTATGTTCAATATTTTTCCCCAACACCACAACTCAAATCTATCAATTTTTCTTCAATCTTCCTTATTCATTGTCCACCTTTAGCATCCATATGAGGCTATGGAAAATACTATGGTTTGGGTTAGGAGCACCTTAGCCTTCAAAGTGACATCTTTGCTCTTTTAACACTTTAAAGAGGTCTTTTGCAGAAGATTTTCCCAATGCAATATGTCATGTTATTTCTTGACTGCTGCTTCCATGGGAGCTGACTATGGATCCAAGTAAAATGAAATCCCTGACAACTTCAATCTTTTCTCCATTTATCATGATGTTGCTTATTGGTCCAGTTGTGAGCATGTTTGTTTTCTTTACATTGTAGTGAAATCCATAGTAAAGGCTGTAGTCTTCAACTTTCATCAGTAAGTGCTTCAAGTCCTGTTCACTCTCAGCAAGCAAGATTGTGTCATCTGCATATTTCAGGCTGCCAATGAGTCTTCCTCCAATTCTGATGCCACATTCTTCTTTACAAAGTCCAGCTTCTAGGATTATTTGTTCAGCATACAGACTGAATAAGTATGGTGAAAGGATACAATGCTGATGCACACCTTTTAAACCACGCAGAATCTGCTTGTTCTGTTCAAACAACTGCCTTTTGGTCTATGTACAGGTTCATCACATTCTCAGGTATCTTCTAATCAAGAGCCATCTCCTTCATTTCTTCAAGTACCCATTCTACTAAAGTTGTTGTTGCTGTTACTTGCTGTTGAGTAGACTCCAATTCATGGGAATCTTATATATAACAGAACAAACATTGCCTGGTCCACCTTCTGGCACTACATTGGGCAGTATTCTGTTGAGACTCACAGTATTTTCACTGGCTAATTATCAGAAGTAGAGGCCACTAGTAGCATAGCTCCCAGCATCATAGCAACACACCAACCACCACAGTATAAGAGACAAGTGGTAGCCCACTGAAGTTGCTGATGTGTGCCATCAAGTCAATTCCAACTCATAGTGACCCTACAGGACAGAGTAGAACTGCCTCATAGGATTTCCTAGACTGTAAATTGATCTTTCTCCCATGGAGCAGCTAGTAGGTTCAAACTGTCAGACTCTCAGTGACTGAGTACTTAACCACTGGACCACTGAAGCTAGTGCTTGCTAAAATATTATAAAAACAATATAGAGGTTTAACATGACCCACCATCCTATCACCGTACAAATTTACTAAACACATATTTAGGAAGCTTCATATTGTTTTTGTTTTTTGTACAGGAATGGTGAGATCAACAAGAGACCCCTCATAGGACCACCCAAAACCAAACCACCATATTCAGATGGGAGGCAGCCTGGTACTGTTTCAGACTTAGAGACCTGGATTCAGGTCCCAGTTTCTCTACTAATTTTGATTTGGGAGCAGTTCTCAAACTTCTCAGCCTCAATTCCCTTCCTTGTAAAAACTGTCATGGCACAAAGGAGGCATGTAAGTATTTGCTGAAGTCATTCACAAAAGAAGTTTCTACTGAATCAATCAGGACTAGGACAAAAATCCCCTCACCTTCAATTCACAGCTCTTTTCATGAATCTAGCCTACTCCGATTCTGCCATAGCTTCTAGAGTTTCTTCTCCTCTCTCCTTACAGGCTTCCGAAGGCCAACTGCATTCTAAATTACCAATCTGTAGCCAAATGCTGAAGTGAGGCAAGAATCACATCTACTAAATTTGGGTATACCTCAGGTCCGAAGCATCTTCATCAGAGTTCCAGTTATTTCACCTCTACAAACTTTTATGACACATATTCCATACATCTGATAGTTAACCTTCTCCTTCTTTTGACTTATGCAACAGCTGAATAGTCATTTCAATAAAATCTCTTCCCCCCTTAATTTTGCAATGATAATGGTATACCTGTAATTTTAAACAAGGTAACTGCCATAAACCTATCTTGTGCTATCATTTAATCCATCACATGTTTTTAAAGAATTCTTATGTCCTAAGGAAACACAAGCTACCATCTCTTGTAATAGTTGCTTGAAATTCAGAAAGTGTTCCCCACCCCCCTTTGGAATGAAGAATTCTTTAAAAACATGTTGTGATGGATTACAACTATTTCATATAATTAAGGAGCCCTGGTGATATAGTGGTTAAAGCACTCCACTGCTAATCAAAAGGTCGGCAGTTTGAACTCACCAGCCACTCCATGGGAGAAAGATGTGGCAGTCCGCTTCTATAAATATTTATTGTCTTAGAAATCCTATAAGGCAGTTCTACTTCATCCTATAGGGTCATTATAAGTCAGAATCAACTGGATGGCAGTGAGTTTATTTGTCTGTTTTCAATGTTTTGTAATGGAAGTCAATGAAGCTTCAGTGGTGGAATTCATGCCTTCAGTTTTCAGCCAATACTGCTCATGTGCAGCTACTACCTGTCCACCAGTGAAGGCGTGCATGTTACTATGATGCTGAACAGATTTCAGCAGAACAAGATAGACAAGGAAAAAACCTGGAAATATACTTTAAAAAAAAAAAAAAAACAGCCAGTGAAAACTCTATGAATCCCAACAGCTCGATCTCACTGTGCAGGGAGTCATCACGAGTTCGGGCGGACATGACAGCTGCTGCTAACGACAACATTTCTTACAATAGAAACACATTTTTATAATGGGGAAGATTTATGAAGTATTTAAAAAATAAATTTAACTTGTATATAGCAAATCATGTTTAAAAAAACACTAGTAAGTACAACTAAAATAATATTAACTATTCCTTGCAATGGTTGCTGGGACTAATAGCAACTCCTCAGATGAAGAGAGACCAAATCTCTAACATGTGCTCTAAGACCATCATTAAAAGCCTGACGCCACCCAAGATCACTAGAGCCAAGACCTATGTCCAATGAGCCCAGGGCTTTGTCTAACTCCAATAAGACTACCAGGTTGAAACCCCTCATCCCTATTTTCATGGGTCTGGGCCTCCTCTCACTCTCTATCACCTAACTCTTCCTGCAGTGATTCTTAAACTATTAAACATATCTGAATAATGTGGAGGGCTTGTTCAAATGTAGATCCCAGAGTTTCTGACTGTGTAGGGCTGGGATGGGGCCTGAGAATTTGTATGTCTAACACATTCCCAGGTTATGTAGCTATTGTTGGTTCAAGAACCATACTTATGAGAATTATTGTGCCACTGCACTATCGTTTCCAAATTATCAGGGTCTGGAGTAAGGAGAAGAAGTAGCTCGTGCTTCCCATTATAACTTCCAGATCATTATTTCCGTATCCCCTAAAAAAGAACAAAACAAGACATCAACCAATACCAAAACTGTACCTTTGAGGCACATGCTATCCAATTATATACCTTCCGCTATGCATATCATTAGGAGCTCTGGTAGCATAATGGCTAAGACACTTGCCTGCTAACCAGAAGGCTGGCGGTTCAAACCCACCAGCCACTCCTCG